CAGAGAAATTGGTTGAAGGGATAGAAGCCAGTCCACACTGGGAAGGAAGCAGGCAATGAGGAAAATACAGAGATTGCGATTAATTGGCTTAATGGGTCTCCCATCTCTGACCCCAATCCTGTCTGAAGATGCATCTACTCTTGTCCTATTTTTGTTGAGTTGAGCACAGGTTTTAGTTTCTGCTGTATAGATTAAAAAGTCTCCCAGCTAACATACAGTGGAAGTTGCTTTAATCTGTTGAAGCCGCAATAACCAAATGCTACAGACTGGGCAATTGAGAAAAACAGAAAATGATTTCTCCCAGTCCTGAGAGCTGGGATATCCGCAAACGTGGCCATAGAAGAATGGTTTTTAGTGAGGGTCCACTTCCCAACATGGCACCCTCTGGGGGTTCTTTGATAAGAGCATTAATCTCTTTTGTATGGGCTCTGCCCTCATGAAACAACCAACTCCGGAGTCCTACTCCTCCTTGCAATACCACAGTCTAATTGGTAACAGTTTCAGCACAGGGTGTTTGGGGGACCATGGATGCCAAGTAAAATGACTGTCTGCAGTTGAAAGACAAAGACCGAAGAGACTGAATTAATTCCACTTGTATTGGCGTCATGTGTGCAATTATCCCTTTGTTCCTGCTGAGATATTGTCTCTTTAAAGATAGTAACATGGCTACTCTGTAGCATAAATTCTTTTGCAGAATTACGTTTATAAAAAACATTTTTGAATTATTTTGAAAACAAGTGCACTTTATGCATTCATTTTGATATAAAGCATCCCCTGATAAGTTGCCTTTTAATGCATTTTAAAAAATTTTTACACACTCAAATGCATATGTGTGGGGTCGTTACATGAGCCTTTCACGTACCTGTACATCGCGTACTATTCCAATCAGGGCAAACATATCTGACTGCTCAAACATTTATGAAAAGCATTTGAATTTTATCAATTCTTCCAGCTTTTCTGAAGTACACCGTACAGTATCACACCTACAGGCACACCCTTCTGTGCAACAAATGCCAGACCTTGGCTCTTCAATCTTCTTTTGACTTGGCACCTGTTAGTTCATCTCTCCCTACCCAGACTCCTCTTTACTCTCCCTATCCTCTAGTAACTACTATTCTGGTCTCAGCTTCTCTAAGATCAGCTATCCTGAGAGGTAGAGAGAGAATGCCTACATGCCGATTCACTCCTCAAGTGCCCAAAACTGTCAGGGCTGGGTTAAGTCAAAAGCAGAAACTTGAAGCAACCCAGGTCTTCTGCATAGATGACAGGGACCTAGCTCCCCTGGACTGTCATTCCCTGTCTCGCAAGGAGGCAGAATCAGTTGTGGAGCCTGGACTCAAATTCCCTTATGGAAAATATGCAGCCCAACTGGTGTCTTTGTGACTAGGGAAAATACTGGTGGCCCCAGACCAATATTTTGAGGTTCTACACATTGGATGGCAATGCAGAATTTGTCTCTCTGTGTGTGGTCTATTTCAAAGATGCCTTCCACTTTGTGGCAAATGGCATGACTGAATCAGATTTCTCCATGGATGATATTCTGAAGTTCAAAAGTACCATGTGCATGAATGTTTAGGCTGAATTCAGGCCTTCACGCTCACGAGTTAGACTGCAACCAACATGGGAGTACAGATATCTCGTAGACAGATTTATTTCCTTTGGGCTTGCTGCATGATATAATAATTCCATTGTTACTTTTCTGAGGAAACACTGTGCTATGTTCTGTAATTGTTAATGTTAAATTTACATTCCCACTGGGTGTCTTTCCCCACATCCTCACCAGCACTGGCTGTGTATTGTCTGAATGGAATGTAACGATACCTCAGTGTGCTTTGAATTTCATGCCCTCAATGGTAGGTGTTGTGCATTTTCTTCGTGGATTTATAGACCATTTCCTTCTGCATCTATTGTCCATTTAAAATCAGTCTTGCACTGTTGCTGTTGAGCTGCTTCGGTTCCATATTTATTCTGGATATTTATCCTATTTCAGATGTACAGGTGTAGTCACATCCTTCCATTCTGTACAGAACGTTTTGTGTTCCTTGTGATGAACTCTCGGAAGTTAGCTCGGAGTGACCCACTGCGTGTAGGAAACTCCCGTGTGCACAGGCACACTCAGTTGGATTGGTAAGAGCCTGCAGCTCGAGGAGATGACTACATAAGGATGTGCCACAATTATCCAAGCTTTTCTGCTGCAGAACTCAGAAAATGAGGAATGGACAGAAAGACTATGGTCTTGGATGTACAGTCCCTCGTATAAATGGGCAGGACTCTCCTCTGCTTTAGGTAGAAACATGGTTTGTGTGTGCACTAATTCGCAGCCAACGCCAGTATACAAACACAGCGCGAGAGGGATTCATCTGGAATTCCATTAGGTGTCACACCTGCCGTGTGTGCAGTGCAGTCCGGCTCTCAAGCTTCATGCAAGCTCCTGGGAGCCTAGGATGAGCCAAAAGAATGTCAGCATTTTCCTAAAGTGAGATATAAGGATGAGGAGTGAATCCATTTGATTCCCACCCATGTGCCCTTTATAATCTGCCCTTTCCTCCCTTTATAAGATGTTTTGATTCATGTCTTAGGAAGGCTTGCTGTAGCCACGGTCCATGACAGAAGTCGGTGATAATTGAAGACAGCGCTACTGTTAGCTCCCCCTTGCAGTCCACTCCATGATTACAGACATGTTACAGACATGTTAGGCGACAGCCTTCGTGGATCAGTCCATTGCGGTGTGGGAATGGGTGGTTTGTTTCAGGAAATAGTAATGACTCAGTTTTGAAGCAGAATAGCTTTGTTTTGTAGCAGCAGATACACAGGAGAGCAGGTTTTCCTGCTTAATCTCTAGAGAAGGGGTTTAGGGTAGAGGGGAATAACCTTCCAGGCTGGGAAGGGTTGATTGTACCCTCCCTTCCCCTTGTCCAGTGCCCTGGCCTGCCATCACTGCACTTTTGAGTTCTCAGAGCTCCCTCTCTGTTTCCACCGTCGGGTCCAACATTCAGACCCGGGAGAGTAGCACTTCATCTTCTTGCTTCTTTGGGACCTGTTGCCCTTTCTGACCACTTACCCTTGTTAAGATAGAGGATAGTCGTGAGTGATCAGGATTCCTCTGGAAATGCTCGAGGCTGGAGAGATGAGAGCGGGCAGCATGATCTCCTGCCGCGGAGGATTCAGGCATGTCACTTGTTTGATGTTTCTAACCATCCTTTTCCTCCTTCTGTGAAGTTTCCTCCTTCTGTGAAGCTTTTTAAGTTTTTCCCCCCCAGCATCAGCTACTTCCCACCTTCATTTTTCTCTGCCTTTCCAGCGTTCTTCTATATTTTTTAAAAAATTATTTATTTTTATTGGAAAGTCAGATATACAGACAGGAGAGACAGAGAGGAAGATTTGCCGTCCAATCGTTTACTCCCCAAGTGACGGCAATGGCTGGTGCCGCTCCGATCTGAAGCCAGGAGCCAGGAACCTCCTCCAGGTCTCCCACGTGGGTGCAGGGTCCCAAGGTTTTGGGCCATCCTTGACTGCTTTCCCAGGCCACAAACAGGGAGCTGGATGGGAAGTGGAGCTGCCAGGGTTAGAACCGGCGCTCATATGGGATCCCGGCGTGTTCAAGTCGAGGACTTTACCTGCTAGGCCACGGTGCCCTCTCCTGTATCCTTTTTGACACCATTCGTAGTCCCCCTCCTTCTTTCGCTTTTCTTCTTCTATATTCCCCAAAGGATTTTCTCAAGAATTGTCCAGAATAGAGAGTACTTGATGATTTGGAATTTGAGAGGGAAGTCAGTGCGCTTTCACGTGTGTGCCTGGTAACAAACAGCCCTAGAGAGCTCTAACAAGGCCAGTGGCCTCTTAGCAGGGGCAGGGACTGCAGCCGGCCAGGCCAGGCTAAGAGCCCGGGGCTTTTCCAGGACGGTGATTGGGGCCCCAGCTGATGAGCGTGATGGCCTCCCACTGAGCACGAGCTGGGAGCTTCTGATTAACCCTGCTGTCCAGGAGTGCTTTTGGCAGCAAAATAGCTGACACCTGGGCTAACGGAGCATGGAAGGAAGATCAGCGGGAGCTCCAAGCAGGAGCATCCCTCTGGTGCTCGGGTCTCCTGAAGAGGAATGGTAGCCCCAAAACCCCCAAGGCACCAACAGCCAGAGCAGAAAGGAGATGGCACAGATCGGACACGCAGCCAAGATGACTCAGACAGTCTCCGGGGGTTTCTGGTGTGGGGAGTTCAGACGCACACTTGGCACTGCGCACTCGCTGTCATCCGCAGCGTGAATGCGTCTGGCTGGGTCGAGCAGGCGGGTTCATTTTTTTTTTAATTCCGGAGCATGGGGGTAGGCTTCTAGTCTGGCTCTCTCTTTTAACAATGTTGAACCCGTAGGTTATAGGAGAAAGACGGGAGGTGACCGGACATTGTGTGGTCCAGGACAAGCACTGTAGGGTCACTTTAGTCCAAGTCCGGATCCCGCCGCGCCCGTTCCCAAACTAAGCCTAATGTCTGCCAGCGGGCAGGGCGAGAGGAAGGCCAGCCAGGTGTGCGCAGCCCACGGCCCCCGTGCGATGCAAGTGTGTTCAAGTGTGTGTGCAGGGGGTGGGGGGTGAGTGGGGGCCTTTCGGACCCAGGGCGCGGGGCTCCCCAGACTAGAACTCGCATCCTCGCACCCCGGCGCGCCGGGCCCGAGGGCCGCGGGCGCTGTCTCTCCCTGCCAGCCGGCGCGCCCGTGGTGGCGAGCGGGCGGGGAGCGAGCGGGTGCGCGGCGCGGGCGGCGGGCGGAGGCGCAGGCGCGCTGCTCGGCCGTGTGCGGCCCCGCGCCGAGCGCCGCGGCTCGCGAGTCGATGGCAGCAGCGCCGTGCGGCCGCGCGGCCGAGCGCCCCGCATCGCCACCCGCCGCCGGCGCCCCGGGAGCGCCCGGGATGCGGGGGGACCCGGGCGGCCGGAGCAGCGCCAGCCACGAGGGCGCGCAGCAGCGTCCGCTCGGCCGCCTGTGCTGACCTGCCTCGCCCGCCCCCAGAGAATGTCAGCCAAGTCCAAGGGGACCCCGTCGTCGTCCGCTCCAGCCGAGGGACCGCCGGCAGCCTCCACGACCAAGGTGAAGGAGCAGATCAAGATCATCGTGGAGGACCTGGAGTTAGTTCTGGGCGACCTGAAGGACGTAGCCAAAGAACTTAAGGAGGTGAGGGGCGCGGGCTGGGCTGGGAGCGGGGTGCGTCGCGTCCCGGGGGGCCTGGGGAGCCGCGGCTCTGCTAACTCCTGGGAACGGCGGAGGTGGCTGCACGCGGACTTTTCTGGGCTCGGGCGCCTCCCCTAAGAGTTGTTCTTGCACTTTTTTTTTTCTTTTTAAACGAGGACAAAATCAACTAGTGTTTCCTCGACAGGGCTGGCAACGGAGGCGCGCCGGGGTCGCAGGGCGAGGGTGGCCGGCAAGGGAAGTGCGCTCCCTTGGCCCGCGCTGCCCGGGATTGCCCAGTGCGCTCAGGCTGGCAGCTCCCGAGCCGCAGCTGGGGGGAAGCCGGGCTTCGGGCGGTGGGCCAGGCCAAGGAGGGCAGCGAGGGGAAACTCGGCCCCCTGCTTGCTGCTCACCCACCGAGACCCCTGGGCCCAGCGGGGGGCCACCCCTGCTGCCGCGGGCTGAGCCTGGCCTGGGGCCCTGGAGGGGCTGAGGAACTTTGTCACTTTGGCGGTTTTCAAAGCATCCTCTGTGCCCCTCTGAGCGCAGTGCCCCGACACCGTGGGGCTCCCTCAACCCCTCACTTGGTCCTGTCGCCACTTGGCGTGGACTCCGGGCAGCAGCACCCAGGCGAGCGCCTGTGTGTGTGTGTGTGTGTGTGTGTGTGTGTGTGTGTGTGTGTGTGTGTGTCGTGCACCCGGGTCTCGCCACTACGTCCCAGCGCTGTACTGGTCTTGTCTTACCCTCTTTTCCTCATCACACCTCAGGCTCCCCCTTTTTCCCTGCTCCGCCCCGCAGCGATCAGGAGGGAGAGAAACCGAGACCCTGTCTGGGTTGCAGCTGCGTAACTCAGGCTGCGGGGCGAGGCGGGGCCGGGGTGGCCCGAAGGGGTGGGGTCTCCTGCGGGCAGGGTGAGCAGCTCTGGGGGTCCAAGGCAGGGCTGTGTGGGAGACAGGACTAACTTCCGAAGCAAGGGTGGCCGTGAGGGATGGGGCGGGCATCGTCTAAGGCCGGAATTACCCGGTTTCTGAAGCCAGGAAAGGGTGGTTTCCTCGGGTCTCCAGGCCAGGGTCCCCGCCAGTCCACCCCCGTGCTCCCTGTGAACTGAAACTCGGAGGGTGTGCCCAGATTCTCGCCTGCTCACGGCGGCGAGCGCACCAGCCGCCAGTGGCGTTCCTGTGGGTTGCCCTGGGGGTTGGTCATCCTCACCGCCAGGGGCTTCTAAGCCGTGGGAGAAGCCGCTGGCTTTCCCGGGGTTCTCCGCCAGTGGCTGGCAGATGGAGGGGCTTCAAGTTGAAACGCCCAGTCTGAAAATGCTATTCCTCTTTTGTGACCCTTTTAATCTGAGGATTTAAATAGCCTAGATCTGCATTTGAAACATTACGGCGTGGCTTTATTATTTATTAAAGGAACGAACCAGACATGCTCCTGTGGTTAACAGTGTGTGTTGCCGCCGGGGGCTGCGGGGGTGGAAGGCGCAGGACTCGGATGTGGGGTGGCCGCGCCTCGCATCTGTGGCCTCTGCTTGCTTGGGCGATGCGACAGGCCAGTGTCCTCCCACCGCTCCGGACGGGGCCAAGTGAGAGCAGCTGGCTCCACTCTGCAGCATTGCCTCGGCGCTGGAGACCCAGGGGGTCTGGTGCCCAGCTGCTTCACTGGGTCCTTGCGGCTCTTGATTTGTCTTGATTTGGAACCACAACGATGCAAATTGTGGAGTCCGCTGATCATTCTGAATTTGTTTTTATTATTTTTTAAGGAGGAAGGTTTTTGGTTTGTTTGTTTGTTTGTTTTTAAAGAAAGTCTAGTACTGTATGTACAGCCAAGTAGGCAGAGGGGTTTGATTGATGGGGAAGGTTTGCCTGGATGGTTTGGAAGCTCCCGGAGCCTCCAGCAGGGCCTGTGTGGTACAGATCTCACTGCCACCGTGAAGTGTGTGGGTGATGCTTTCTGTGAAGGTGGCAGCTCCGGTTTGAATATGGCAGCAGACAGACCCCAGCCGAGTATGCAGCCCCGTGACTATTAATATATTGTGAGTGAAAACTATTTTGAGGACAAAATATTTATAGGACGTGTTTAACCCGTGACATCTTACAGTTGTTCAGCATTTATCTTTTCAGGGTAATACTGCACATGTGACTGGAACAGGCCTTCGATGTAGTTTTGAGGCAATAGTCAGAAGTCTGTAGATTGCAAGACTTATTGGTACCCATGCATGTGGCTTCGAAATGGAAATGTTGCTATAAATCAGTTGTGATAATCAATATTCTGCGTGTTTATAATTCCATATATGCATATTTAGACTTTTTTATTGCTTAATTGGCAATGCTGTACTTTTAGACTTTAGGTTGGCAATGAGCTTTTATCAATATGGAACAGAAATTGAGAGTTAAAAAATTGATTATTATTGGATCCCCATATCTGTTCATGGTTTTGATGTGTATGTTTCGTTCTAGTTGAGATGGAGTTGGTTTTCATTCATTCATTCATTCATTCATTCATTCATTCATTCATTTTTCAAGTGTCCTGTCCTTTAAGCTTTGCATAAAGTCCACACCAACATTTGATATTTCTGTGGGGTTATTTTGAAATTGTTTTTTGTGGTAGAAATCTTCTGGACTTTGGCCATCTATTAATTCAGATAGCAAGGTAGAGCCACAAGGAGCCGTAGCTGCCTTGAAACAGTTCAGTAATTAAAAGCAAGACTCCTCCGCCCACCAAAGAGAGCTGTTATTAGGGTGTCATTTGTGGTTGAGTATATTAACTCTGTTGGTTATAATTGAATCCCAAATTGGAGGAAGGGAAACAAAATTTCTAGAAAGACTAAGAGCAGTTATATTCTACTCTCAGACCTCACTTAACTTCAGTTTTCAGAAATAATATGAGTCATTCTCCCTTCCAAGCTATAACGGAAAAGCCTTAAATATAATTGAGTATATTTCTGCAGCACCTGCTATGTGCCAAGTTCTCTAGTGCCTTTTTATTGTACTGAGATGAGTAAGTATACTTACTGGTCTCCGTGAGCTCAGTGGTTTATTTGGGAATGCATTTATCCTGCTATCCAACACAAGTAATATGGAGGCCTCACATCTCTGAATAGTCACTCTCAGAATTGAACTGGGAAAGAAAGCAGAATCGAGAATGAGTGTACGTTGGTTTATAAACTAAGGTATGCTGCGTGCTTGGTAGTACCCTGAGACTTGAGTAAAGAATGTCAAAACTTAGAAAGATGGTGAGATAGCAATTTTGAGGGAAACAGTTTATTCAGGTTATCGTGTGATGGACTGATGCAATAAGTAAGAGCAAAATATTCAAATATGATAGCTACATATTGAACATTTCCATTAAAAGTAAGTGCTTTGGAGAAGAAGAGTCAAAGCAAAGAGTTCCAAATCTATAAACAGAGTAAGATATGAAGAGGTAGATAGGAGAAGCAATGGATACCAAAGGCTTGGAATGCAAAACCGATCCATGTTGTTTCTGCACATTGAAAAAACCATGAACAAAATGAGGGCTGAACCTCAGGCTGTGGAGTAGAGTTAGCCAAATCTGGTACAAGGGGTGTGGATGACACTTTCTCACTAAAAACATGTACAGATACAGCTATTGCTTTTCCAAAATACTTCTCAACTGTTGTAACATTTGGGGATTGCAGTTTGCCTCTTCTTTGCTGAAGATCTCACTGGTAAATTGTTTTGCAACAAATGTTGGTGTTAGCAGAACCCACAGATCTGGGAGAGATTGGAATCTCTAAACAGACAGCCTTTTCCCCGGGAGCAAAATTCACTTCCGCCACAGCTGGATTCTGTGTTAGTTTTGATTTTAATGACCATGATCTTGTAGCACTCAACTCTTTGATTTTTATGTCAGAGCACTGTATGTTCTGGACTGCACATGAGGGGTCTTCAGAAACATTCATAGAGTGTGCATCAGTGAAAAAAATGTCTGCATGGATTGCAAAAAGCTTTTTGTAGCAAAATGAACTAGTATCAACACATTGTAGCATGTCTACAGTGCTGCTAAGTTTTAGACCCTCAGAAGGGTAAGACATCTTCAAATAGAATAATTATGAGAGCAACACGCATACTGCTGAAAGTGATGTAAAGGCAAATGTCCAACATATAGCCAAGTTTAGGTAGAAGAAGGTGAAATCACTGATTGGAGAATTGTGGTTTTTCCAAAATAGTTTTGAAGACAGAGCATACCTGAGGCAGGGGCTAAGCAGAAGTTTAATGGGAGTAGAAGTGGACCAGTGAAGAGTGAAAGCTTGGCTGGAGTTTCCTGGGTTACTCCAATCCTTTTGCTTGCTGAGTTTCTGCAAGAGAATACTGGCTGCATGGGTAGAGAATGCCCCCCAAAGCTTCAGGAAGAAATGGCCCAGGAAGGAGTCAGCACACTGTGCCTGGGAGTGCTCCTGTGCAATCTCCTCACCCTCCAGGGGAGCCAGAGCACGTGTTATCCTCCCACCCCGGGAGTGCTCCCATGGGGTCTCCTCACCCTCCAGGGGAGCCAGAGTTAGCCCGGAAATCATCCACCTGACACTCCTGGACTGGCTTCTCACTTCTTTTTGTTTCCTAATCCTAAAACAGCCTTCAAAGGCACCTGTTTTTCTTCAGTTTATATTGCAGTGAGAACTTAGATTCTCAGGACCCCTGCTTGTTCTTTAGGGATATAGCTATTACCTAAGAAAGCATCTTGAGTTTTATGGGATTTTGTGTTGAGAGAGTTTGTATTTTGTATTTCTATGTTTTAATTCCATTTTCTATGATTGTGCATGTATATATCTGCATATATGTGTGTGTTCACACACATATATGTACATATATATGAAAGAGATAGCAGAAGTTTTATATGGACTCCAAAAGTTCATATGTATGTATGAATATTAAAAAATTTATTCCTAAAAAAGGTTATATTTGAGTTTCATTTCCACAGTCTTTCTGAAGCACCTGTATGTGTAGTTACTTCTGTATATACACATACACACGCAAGGCTGCCTCGGGTATGAC